TGCCAAGAGACTTTTAACAGAGATAGTGTGCAGATACGGTGTCCCAGAGGTTATAGAGAGTGATCAGGGGCAACGTATAAGAACCAGGTTAGGAGGGCAATGGAGGGGGGAATGTGCTCTTGCAAAGGCTATCATGCCTCTCCACATCTTAACAGAGAAGGCCCCTAACGCACGCCCTGCTCCAGTGTCTAGTGGCAGGGGGAAAAGGGAAGCCCCTCCAGGAAGCTTTGATCCTCATGTGTATATAGATGCCATTGGAGTCCCAAGGGGGGTCCCTGATGAGTTTAAAGCCAGAGACCAAGTAAAAGCCGGTTTTGAGTCCCTGATACCAATAATCACTATCAATAAGAACGTAGATTGGATAAATTACATCTATTATAACCAACAGAGGTTCGTCAACTACACTAGGGATGCACTAAAGGGAATAGCAGAACAGTTGGAAGCCACCTCCCAAATGATTTCCAGAACCGGATGGCTCTGGATATGGTATTGGCAGAGAAATGAGGGGTTTGCACCATGATAGATAAGACCAGCACCTGTTGCACTTACATCCCAGACAATACTGGCCCAAATGGTAAAGTTACCCTAGCCATTAAGAAACTAGAAAGTCTGTCAGTGGAACTAAAGAAGAATTCAGGTATCACAGATCCGTGGGACCAATATTTTAATTGGATGACAGGTTGGCAGAAAGCATTGGCCCAAGTTGGTGTGGTGATTTTTATTGTTCTGATCTTCATCAGCCTAGTAGTCTGCTGTGTAATCCCCTATGCCAGAAAGTTGACCAAGGTGGTTGATAAAAGTACCCTGACCCCAACTATGATTCAGGTAGAAGAGGACACCTACCTGTATGACTACGAGAAAATGATTTCATTTTATCTCCAAGGGTATACTCTGTATAATCAGGCCAGGCGGCAGATACAAGTACGGAATCTTTGATCCGATCTAAATTTGTGACCAGGTCCAAAACAGTATTAAACCTCCCAAGATAAACAGCAATGCTCCACTGGGAAATATCAGTATAAGGGCAAGGGTCTTCTGTTTTTGTGTTAGAGTGAACAGTTAACTCATTTTGTTTTCCTCTCCAATTTGATCTGCAGAAGGACAGGAGAAAGTGGAATCAGGATGAAGTGAATGATGGAAGATCACAAGAGCTATGGAGAACAAGACCTTCAATCTTCTGCATGATTGAACTTGCTTCTCATGAACTTTGCCATAGGACTAAAAAGCCTTCTGTTCTGTGGCTGAAATATAGAATGTGTTGTATCCATTGTGAATGAATGTTTGGTGTGAGTGCCGTTCGTAATTAAGATAGTTTTATTGATTTTTCTATGTGATGTCTGAAAATCGGGGACGGAACGTGTGATGTCAGCATGGATGTGTATACACACCTGTTTTTCAAAAACAACAAACTTTAGTTTCTCATGAAAACATCTCTATTTAAAAATTAGGCACAAGTCCAATTATGTTGTATTTTCTAGCACTAGGAAAATAGGATAGAAGTATTGGTACATGTGAACCATTGGCTGAGAAAGTACATATTGTTTAGATGTGCCCACCGTTTAGAGAAGCTCTGATCAAATACTGGACCCAAGCCTCATGGCAGCTGTATCAATAAGAATGAACAATAGACTCGACATAGTTGACCTACGGTGCTGTGCAGTCATTTAGAATTTGAAGAACCCCAGCAGAAACAGCTATGCCCATGTGGGAATGGCTACAAAAGATAAAAGGTTTGCATTTAAAGCTGAAGGGTGGGGGGGGGGGGAGGGGGGAAAAAAAACACTACTAAAGCTCCACTAAAAGAGAGAGAGAGACTTTCAATATTAGGAACCAATTTTCCTGAAGTCCAGTTTACTAAGGGAATCATAAATAAGCTATAAACGAAGCTGATTGCATCTCTATTGCAAACAGACAATGTTAATTTGCTAGAGAAAAATAAATATTTGCATGTGTATATGTATGCATGTTTGTAGCACTCTGTAAGTCCTGTATTGTTTTCTGTAACCAAGTAGATTGTATATGTATCATTCACACGCACATTAATACACTACTTACTTGGTGTGAGCCTTGATTTTACTGCTAAAATAAAGAACAGCTGAAAACAAAAAACATCCAAGAAAACACACCTGTATTTGCAGCACCCAGGAGCCGCAGCTGCTGTGGTTTTCTGCCCATAGCAATGTACGGACAGAAAACACTGTACCCGGGTATTCACCTCTACACGCCGGTAATGGTGCTTGCACATACATGTGCATACGTTTCTGAAAATAAAACATTCAGAAGCTTATGCCACTGCACGTGCAAACATCTGTACCAATGTTCAGGAGCGTATAGCCAGGCACACCGTTTTCTGTGTCTATACACTATATTGCCAAAAGTATTGGGACGCCTGCCTTTACACGCACATGAACTTTAATGGCATCCCAGTCTTAGTCCGTAGGGTTCAATATTGAGTTGGCCCACCCTTTGCCGCTATAACAGCTTCAACTTTTCTGGGAAGGCTGTCCACGAGGTTTAGGAGTGTGTCTATGGGAATGTTTGATCATTCTTTCAGAAGCACATCTGTGAGGTCAGGTACTGATGTTGAATGAGAAGGCCGGGCTCAAAGTCTCCGCTCTAATTCATCCCAAAGGTGTTCTATTGGGTTGAGGTCAGGACACTGTGCAGGCCACTGAAGTTCCTCCACCCCAAACTCGCTCATCCACGTCTTTATGGACCTTGCTTTGTGCACTGGTGCACTGTCGTGTTGCAACAGGAATGGCCATCCCTTAACTGTTCCCACAAAGTTGGGAGCATGAAATTGTCCAAAATGTCTTGGTATGCTGATGCCTTAAAAGTTCCCTTCACTGGAACTAAGGGGCCAAGCCCCAACCACTGAAAAACCACCCCACACCATAAGCCCCCCTCCACCAAACTTTACACTTGGCACAATGCAGTCAGGCAAGTACAGTTCTCCTGACAACCGCTACACCCAGGCACGTCCATCGGATAGACAGAAGCGTGATTCGTCACTCCAGAGAACACATCTTCTTTAGAGTCCAGTGGCGCGTGCTTTACACCACAGCATCCGACGCTTTGCACTTGGTGATGTAAGGCTTGGATGCAGCTGCTCGGCCATGGAAACCCATTCCATGAAGCTCTCTATGCAATGTTGGTGTGCCAATCTGAAGGCCAGACAAAGTTTGGAGGTGTGTAGCTATTGACCGTGTAGACATTTGGCGACTTCTGTGCGCCTCAGCATGCGCTGACCCCGCTTTGTCATTTTACATGTCCTACTACATCGTGGCTGCTGTTCCCAGTTGCTTCCACTGTGTTATAATACCACTAACAGTTGACCGTGGAATATTTAGTAGCAAGGAAATTTCACGGATAGACTTATTGCACAGGTGGCAACCTATCACAGTACCACGCTTGAATTCACTAAGCTACTGAGAGCGACCCATTCTTTCACAAATGTTTGTAGAAGTAGTCTGCATGCCTAGGTGCTTGATTTGATACACCTGTGGCCATGGAGGTGATTGGAACACCCGAAATCAATAATTTTGGCAATATAGTGCATATGGCTATGGACAGAAAAACACAACAGCTGTGTCTCCTGGGTCCTGCAATTACATGCAGTAGCTAGCTCCTTTCGCGCCTGAGGCAAGTACAGAAAATTGTGCCCCCCCAACAGGCGTGTGATGTCACCTGGCGCCGCCTCCAGGATGGTGGCCCAATCTGAAATAGCATATAAATTTGTTTCGTTTGACGAAACTAATGAAAACGTTTTTAGTTACTGTTCATTTTGTCCGAACCTATTTTTTTTTTTTTACTGTTGCTGGGCTTTGGTAAAATATCATATCTAAACAGGCCCCTGACATTTCCCTTTTGAAATAGAAAAAGAAATTGAGGACACCAAGCTCTTTTTCTGCAACATCTGTTCTAAATGAATGGAGAGCACTCAGTACAGACGCTTCCTATTCATTCAGAAACTAGTGATAGTAACATATTTACTATCAACCAGTTTTGAATGTATAAGCCTCTATAGTGAGTGCTACTACCCATTCAGAAATTCATGAATGAAGAGGAAGTGATATAAATCACTTCCTCTTCATTCATAACTGCGGACACATATGTGTCTCCTGTTGTTTACAAATATTGGAGGATCGGCTGATCACTCCAGTGTTTGCTCTGCACACAGAGGATCGGTAAATATCACAAATATTTACTGATCCTCTGCTCTCTATCCTGAGCTGCTCAGCCACGCACAGAGCTGAACATGAGAAATGGAGTGCTAAAGCCAGCAGGTTGGCGGAGGAACAAGCGCTGTCACTTCAGGATGGCCGAGCGGTGAGGAGAGAGCCGCTGGCTGTCAGATCCTGGCCAAGTTGCTTTCTGTGTCCTCACCGCTTGATCCTGGATAGCAGCTCCCTACTCCCCCAACCCCCCCGCGGACTGCAGCACTCCATTTCTCCTCGGATTCCTGATGCCTCTGCCCTTACAGGCAGAGGAAGGCAGTGGGGATCCGAGGAGAAGCTGCACCCCCGAGGCCGAGGATCCGGCAGTGGGCATTCGAGGAGAAGCTACTCTTTGCAGCCCCGAGGCCGAGCTGTGTTGGCCGCCTGGCGCCCCCTGTTGCTATGGTGCCCTGTGCTCGCATCCCCCAAAGGCTGGCCCTGGCTGCGCCCCTCTCTTAGCTGTGCCCGAGGCAAGTGCCTCACCCTTACTACAGCCCTGCATGCATATTTTATGCCGTATGCAAATATGCTTGTATTTGTTTACAAAAACGATTGTGTGCATGAGCCCTACAAATTGCTAGTAACAGTCCAGAGTTGTATCAAATCCCAAGTACAACAGAGTACAGTAAGTTAGTTTTCAATCTATTTAATAACTTATAAAAACACTGAAAATTGATTAACAATGTTCAAACTTTTAGGTATGACCAAATGGACTAAGCTCCATATCTGAAATCAGAAGGAACACATTCTTTGCTTCTGCTTAACTGTAGGTTAGACTGGTACCTGGATATAGGCAATCCTTCTTTGCACAAGTTCTGTTAAGTCTTTGGCCTCTCTTTCTCTCCAGTCTCCTGCACCATCTGTTTGACTGAGGTAGTAGAGATCTGTCATAACGGATCTGCCAAAAGGAATATAAATTACTATGACTAGACTGAATTGCTTGTTAATACCATGAGATGCATAATATTAATCATTTGTTTCTATTGTGTCATATCTATTCAATATATTGTTGTATATCAAAACACCACTGCGAAGCGGAAACCTATTGCCCACTACCCATTAGATAAAATAACGAAGGTAGTCCAGTTTAACAAAATGCGGCACCATACTGTAAACATTCTATGGTTCGTTCATAACTTGTACTACTGCCATAGCTGAAACAACTCATGGCAAGATTAATTTTAATAGCTATATGTTCTATGTACATTAGCTGTTCGGGATAAGTATAGTTATTTATACTACACTATATAAACAGCATTCTTGCTTAACCCCTTCGTGACGGGAGACGTACAGTGTACGTCCCATCACTTTGTGCCTATATGACTGGCTACGTACATTGTACGTGACGAGTTATATCAGGCTTTGTAATGCTGGTAACAGCTGATTCTCAGCAGTTACCAGTCATTAAATAATGCCTCAGTATTGAAGCATTCATTAATGAAATAATTAAGCTTTTTGTAAAAAGCTTCTTCCTTTCATTAATTAAAGAATGAAGCCGTTACATGCAAATACAGGACCGCAATTTGCGATCCTGTATTTGACAGCTGAAAATAGCAGAGAGGTAGCAGTGACTCACCTCTCTGCTTTTGACAGCTCGAGAGCACGATGTTTAGATACATTTCACTCAAAAGATACAATGTATATCTTCTGACTGAAATGTATCCGTTCTGATCGTCTAGGCACGATCAAAAGGAGCTTTTAGGGAGATCTGAATCTGACTAAAGTCAGGATCAGTCTCCAAGGTTATTATTAGCTGCTCTTGTTTGGAGCAGCCTAATTGCCAAAAATTTTAAAAAAAGTTAATTTATCAAGAAGTCATAGTGACTGCTTGATATAAACTGAAAATACTACATAATGGCATTAACCTATAACTTGTATGCCTCAACTTAACCATCCACCTACCTACTGCCCCTAGGTTTTTCTTCATGTAACCTTTAGAAATTCTTGTTAGAGATGAACTTGAGGGTATTTACACTTCTGCAGCCAAACTGGGATAACACATACTTTGTATTTTTTCTATGTTCTCATTCACATAGCGTAAAAAAATATTAAACATTTCCTTGTGTACATTTTTTACTTGCTTCAAAATCCTACCTAGCCCTCCTCCCCCAAAACGTAATGTTAAAGAGCAGGTGGGGGGAAGTTATGTTTACACTAATTAACCCTGTTTGTACTGCGCAGGCAGATTTCATTGAACACTGTCTGTGCCAACAAAGCAAAAGATCTAGAAGTATTCTATGTTAATGAGAACAGCCTGAAAGTGAAAGTAAAGGGTAAACTGAGGGACAAACTGCTTATAGCTTGGAATCTTCACACAGGCCTTTACCAAATAAACATCTATAAGGAACGAAATATATTTTTAAAAATTATTTTTTTGGCATACTTTGTGAGTAGGAACACATACCAAAGACAGAGGTTTTTTTTTAAATTTAACTGCAAAAAAGGAAATACACTTCAATGGTAATGGGAATGGTAAAATACACACACCCGCACACTGTTTTATATCAAGCATTAGTGTCTATTTCATACAAGATATTTGTTTAAATAACACAACTATGTTACAAAATGTACATCATGGAACTTTAGGCTATGAAGCTCAAATGGCCAAAATATTACATTAGCTTTTCCTCTGTTACACTGAGTCTAATAGCTTTGAACAAGTTTACACATAAATCACATCCACTATTCTTCCTAATGCACCTGTGTGTTATGACATAAAGATGAATATGCAAACCCACTTACTAAAATCTCATATAAGCTGTAACTCATTCATTACATTTTAAAAGTATTAGTTTAATTTCCACTTAACACTTTCACTTAGCCTCTGAGGATAACGATAAAGTCACAGTTTCACTTTGACAAGAGGATTTTGCCTCCAGTACTTCCCACCTATTCCTCTCTATTGACCAAACTTGGTCTCCCTGCAGCTCCACATCCCTCTCTCGCACAGCAAGACCCCAAGGAAGCCTCTTACCCCCATGCACATGCTTCCCAGTAGCCCAACAATCATGTGCAGCTCATTTCGGGCATACCTACAGCTCTCATCATCCCTCCACTACCCAAAGCTCCTCTCCCACAAATACACAGCTGTGCTTCCCAGCTCTGATGGCTACAACCTCAATACCCTGCGGGCTCCGATCCCTGTAGCTTCATGACCTCTCACACACACATCACATGCTCCCTTTCAAGTCAGCTCAACAACTCGGGGAACACACCGAGGCAGACATACATTCAGTGCTGATGCTGGTCCCTGTTAGTAAGGTTTGGGGATCTGAGCCAGTAGCTAACTGAGGTGGTGGACATCGGAGTGGGGGAACAGAGTTGTTTATTTGTGGGAAAGAAGCTTCAGGCGGTGAAGAGGTGATGAAAGCTGTTGGGAATTCCCAAAGGGAGCTGCCCAGGATTGTTGGGCTGCTGGGAGGGATGTGTGTGAGAGGGGTGAGGAGGCAGCAGGGAGAACAACATAAAACAATGTTGGACTTGATAGACCCCTGCCAAAACAGTCTACTCCCCACAGTGGACCTCCATGATGTAGAAGGCTTGGTGGTGGACTTGTGGCCCAGGCAGTTTTCTGTTTGCAGTAAGGCAGTCTTGGAGGAAGAGTGGAGGGCTTCCTGAGAAGAAAAGCCTTTTCTGTTGAGGTGAAAGAAAGGCGACCACTTTCAGGAACAGGTCTTTAGCCTAAGAAAAATGAGTACTCTTTAAAATTGTTGCATGTATGTATGGCGACGGCATACAAGAAAGGCCCCCCAAAAAACTGGACCTATAAACAGAAGCTAAAACTACCGTAACCTTACAGGTTTTGTCATTGGGATCTGGGCTTCAATGTCTTAATCCAATAGAGCTTAAAAAGGAGGACTATGGGGTTAAGGTTTTTCCCCATAGTTCTCCTTAGGGTAACGGGAGGACACAAACTAGCGTCCTCCGAGTCACCCTAAGCCCAGTATACCGCGAGTTACTGCTCGCGGTATACTGAGTCGCCGCAGCTGAAGCGGATCCCGACAATTATGTCGGGATCCGCCCAGCTGCGTGAGTGACAGCTGGCTCTGCCTATCTAGAGGCAGAGCCAGCTGTACCCGCCCCCTCCCCCGTCCAATCCGCCAGTCAGCGATGGCGGATCAGAGCGGGGGGAATCCAGCCCCTCCCCTGTCACGGCAGAGAGCTGTGACAGGATCGAGAGGTGAGCGAACGCCGGTATGTGTTCGCTCACTTCTCGATCTACTGAGCCAACCTGTGACAGTCTCATTGTCACAGGTCGGCTAGAACTATGAGGTGAGTGAAAAGCACTCACCTCATAGTTCTCCTTTAAGAGAGCTGTCCTACCTAATAAAGACACTGACACTTAACATTTTGAGAGGTACTAAGTGGAGCAGGGTAACTACACTTAAAGTTTTGACTTCCTAGTCAGGTAAAACAGATATTTAAACAATAGTGTTCCATGTTGGGTTTACCATAAGCTTCTTGTTTTGGAGTTGAATTACTCGTAACAATACCTTTTGTACTGTTCTCCAATGTTTTCCATTTTAAAATATGTTTTTCATATTTGTATGGAAGGTCATAGAATGCTTTGTAACTAGTATTATGATAATTAGAATTACAATGTATAAGAATTTTAACCTGTGCCTGTAACCTTTTAGTATAAGAATATAATAAAATAACCAGATGACTTTCATATGTAAAAAACTGGCTAATAAATGTTTAAATCATGCTAACAGTTTAACGATTATATTGTGTACGTATATTGTTTCTATGAATAAACACAAGCACCCTAAAATACAATTTGACCTTTTTCTGCTGTATTTAAAAAAAAACAAATGTAATCAATATTAGCAATGCATACCTTTGCTGAATACCCATGTCTGCCAATAATTCATCCACGCGTCTTTGGAGTTCATTTCTGTCCACATGCTTTAGTTTTTTTAGTTCACTTTGGACAAAATACCAGAATTCCTTTGCACCATTTTCAATAGCCCGTCTCAAGATTTCATGGTCTTTTCCAATACTAGCCACTGAAAATAAAAATAAAAAAGAGATGGCAAGTAAAACACTTGTCAATCAAGGGGGAAATTAAAAAAAAAAAAAAAATCTCCCACAAACTATCAACCTTAATGTGGCAAAAAATATAGCCTCTAAATGTACCAATTTAAAATGAAATATTTGTGTTTTAAATGATACTTAAAATAAACAAATAAGTTTAAGAATATTCGATCTCAAAGGAACACAATACCCCCTTGCTGTTGCAGTAGTATTTTTGAATCCCATTTCTCACAAATGATTTAGCATGGAATATGGCAACACCACATTGGGGTGCATTTATCATAGCAATTGCGAGTGTTTGAACTTGCACTGAATATATTTGATGCACTTTGCGCCAGATTTATGATGCTAGCGTAATGTTGTTCATAAATTAGGTTTAATAGACTCCAGAAAAAAGGCTTGTAACTCCAGGAAAAAAGCCTAAAGGTGCCCATACACCTTACGACCATCGTAAGACTTTTGTCTTGCGATGGTCATAAGCTTATTGAAAGCTCGTACGATCTGCCCATCTTGGACGGGCAGATGGTACATGCGATCATCCAAAGCCCGCCCCGCTGAGGTCCGATGACCGCAGTGAGGGGCGGGCTTCCAATCACTGCAAACGGGCAGTGTGCACACCTTACAGTAGAAATGGTCGCACGCCTTCCATACACTGTACGATCGTACAATCGCGGGATTTCCCGCAATTCTCGTATGAGAATCGTACAGTGTATGGGCACCTTAACTCTCACTTCTTGAAGAAGTGGTCATGGGGACTTAAGTTGTGATTGTTTTGTTATGGGATGCTCCAGTTTCAGATAGCCGCAGAACAAGTGCAGATGAAAACAGGTGCAAAAAATGTGCAATTGAAAAAGTAGTGCATGGTCTGGACAAAACAGATGCAAAACACATGCAGTTAGAAAAGTAGTGCAAGGGTACGTGTTAAAAGACAGATTTGCACATTTAAAAAAATTACCTAAGAGGCTAAAACTTTCACAATTGCTTTGATAAATTCCCCCCACTATACACTGAGTGGCCAGATTATGACCACCCCATCAGTACTTCGTTGTGCCACGAGATGACTTCGTTGAGAGTAATAAACTGGCCACTCAGTGTATATTAAACAAATCCAATAGGCTTGAAACTGTTGGAACTGGACGTGGATTCAGATGAACAGAAGGAAGCAGTGATGACTAAACTTGGCAAATCACCAGGTTACAAGGGTTATTATTATTATTATTATTATTATTATTATAATACAAAATGTATCTAGCGCCAACAGTTTGTGCAGCACTTTACAATATAAGGAAGACATTACAGTTACAATACAAGATCGTGAGGAGGGTTATTTTAGTTTGATTTGTGGGAATAAAAATACAGTAGGTAGATATGTACATGAAAAGCATTAGCGAGACCCTGTTGCAGATCAATCATTATTGTTCCAATATATTTTTTATTAAGTAATGAAAGTTACAGTTTAAGAACAGTAGGTCGTACATTAGTCATACATTAAGAACATATATAACATGGAGTCACAATATTATATAGAGCAGGGGTCCTCAAACTTTTTAAACAGGGGGCCAGTTCACTGTCCCACAGACATTGTTGGGGGCCGGATCAGGAAGCCAGGAGGCGGGTCATGACATGCTGCCCAGCTTCCTGATTGGATAGGCAGCAAGCTTCACTTGGTAGGCAGCCTGGCTTCCTAACCAATCAGTAAGCTGGACGGCACGTTCTGACCCACCCCCTGGCTTCCTGATTGGCTAGGAAGCCGGCTTCACTTTTTTCTAGGCAGCCTGGCTTCCTGACCAATCAGGATGCCAGGTGGTACGTCATGACTTGCATCATGGCTTCCTGATTGGCTGGGAAGCAAGCTTCACTTGTTGGTAGGCAGCCCGGCTTCCTAACCAATCAGTAAGCTGGGCGGCACGTTCTGACCCACCTCCTGGCTTCCTGATTGGCTAGGAAGCCGGCTTCACTTTTCTCTAGGCAGCCTGGCTTCCTGACCAATCAGGAAGCCAGGTGGTACGTCATGACTTGCATCATGGCTTCCTGATAAGCTGGGAAGCAAGCTTCACTTGTTGGTAGGCAGCCCGGCTTCCTAACCAATCAGGAAGCCGTGACACGAGTAATGACGTACTGCCCAGCTTCCTGATTGGTCAGGAAGCCAGGCTGAATAGAAAAAATTGCTGCAACAGAGCGTGCTGGTTACTACTTAAACCGGCGCGCGCTGTGTGCAGTTTCTGAGAATATACGCTATTAGCGTAGCAGGAGCGATGCAAAATGTGCAACCGGCTTCTCCGCTACGCTAATAGCATATATTCTCAGAAGCTGCACACAGCGCGCTCTGTTGCAGCTTCTGACAGCGTGGGAGATGGGACGCTGCGTTCTTCGGTGGATCTAGGGATCAGGCGAGTATTAAAATATAAATATATGTTTTAATTTATGTTCCCAGGGACATTTAAAAATGTCCCTTGATTTTATTTTAACAGAGTTGTTAACTTGTAATAATCAAAAATCACTGCGCTGGGAATGAGTGACTCAAAATCTAAATAGCTAAATAGACTAGCAGCAACTATGTGTGTAAGTGAGTCTAATGTGTGGCAGATAAGTTGCGCTCGGTCTAGTTGTGAATGGGTGTGAAAGTGATCTCTCAAAACCAAAGGGTGGAGATCACCTTCAGATAACAAAATAAAATAAAAAATGTTAAATATAAAGTAGATGTCTCCACTAGTGATAGTGAATTAGTGGTTGAAGCTGCAAAACACAACCCGGTGTTACTTGAGTGTATTGTATGTGCGTGGTGAGCTTTAGCTGGCTAAACAAATCAGTTATATTGAAAGCATCCGTATAAGCATAGTCATGAAGCAATAATATGTGAATAAACAATCAATAAAAGCACCTATATATAAAATCCAGTAAATAGTTAAACAACAAGTGATACGTTATAAAAAACGAAAAATAAAAATAAAAAGTAAAGTGCAGCCCAGTGCGCTCCAGTTCTTCTATAACCGGTCACTGGGAGTTCTCTGACCCGGATGGTTCTCTTCTTTGTTCGTCTCTAAAACCCTGTGGGACCACAACAAAGCACTTTACCAACACCGCGTCTAAAAGGATCGATCTCCTCATCCCTGAGACATAGCCAGCAATATAGGGGAGAAAGCCAAGTGTTCATCTGCCGGGACTCGTGGAGAACACGTTTGCGCCCAAGTCCAACTACGCTATTACTCACTAAGAGTTCTTTTGATCAGCTTCTATTTTGTGAGTACCCACCCGAGAGGGGCAGTTCAGACGACCTTAAATACACTGCTACTTTTGTTTGTACACGGGGTTCACCGTTCACCGAATCTTTTTCCATAAGGAACACTTTTTGATGTTTCACAGGATTTTTATATGACTTTATTGGACAATTTGATTGGTTTTTATGTTTTATCTTTATCACAGCAATTTTGTATTGGTTTATTAATCACATTTCATATACATTACTAGGGCTCCAGGCCGACCCGCCTGAAAACCTATCTTCCACTTTTTATACACAATATTTAATACCTTTAGCGCTTTTTATTTTGATTGATTAAGGTTTGAAAATGAAAGGTTGATGCTGATTGGTTGCTATGGGTAACTGCTCCAAATTCCCTCTGCTGCAGCTTTGATAAATTTCCCGTTATTTTTTTCCTATGCTTTTGCCTACAATTTTCTAGGCTGGTGACAGGATGAATGCAAGCACTGTATAAATTATCTGCAGGGAGGGAAGGTGGTGGGATATATGGTTTCAGTCAGGGACAGGCTAATGCAGAGAAAGGAAAGGTTCCCACCTTTAGCACTATAGTAGAAGCTTTTTTTTCTTCTTTCTTTTTGATTCTGGCTCAGTTCCACACACCTTTTAGGTTTTGTAGTCTACCCTGTCGTGGAAATTTTAGTAGGATGTGTTTTTAGTATATTGTAATATTGTCATCATGTCTCTCAGTGTCCGGATTTCTGCGTCACGCTCGATTGGAGCGTGACCCGGATTATTCAGGCACTGGGAATAAACCATTGGAGTGGATATGCGCGGATTTATTGGCGTGGCATGTATGCATTTGCCTTGAGGACATAGTATTTAAGATACATATCTGCCTTTTTGAAAGGAACGTGCGTTCGTATTTCTGATGCATCTGATTAGCGCGCTGGAAGTAGTATGGCATTGTCCCTGCAGATAAGCTCCCATCAATGCGAAATCATAATAACTTTATTGGGCATTGCTCACTGAGCAATGCTGGATAAAGTTTGCGCCAGTGTTAACGGGAAATTAAAGATGGCGTCGTCCATGTGCAAGCATGCTGCTTCCTTTGTGTAAGTGTTTTTGGCGGGAAATCCATTGTTAACAAATGTGCAAGTGAAACATGAACTGGCAGCTGGAAACTGTGCACGGTGCTTCACATGCATGAGCATACCCTCCCCTTTTTCTATTGTCTATTCAGATGTATACATGTGTTTAATTGGCTGGCTCTGTATTCTATTGATGTATGAGGAAGTGGTGGCTGTTGTGGCTATCACTTCCAGTGTTACCCCTATAAATAAAGAAGTCTTCCTCAAGTGAGGACAGCGACTGAGGATCTGACGAGACAACAGCAAGTGTGTGTGTTTCCTTGCTGAGCGCGTTCAGACAAATTATACCGGAGCAGAGCGCAGAGAACTGTGCTTCTAAGCACAGCGGATTTAAATACAATATTAATTTCTATAACAACCCCAACATATTATACGTTATTTTTCTTAACACAAAGGGCTTTTAATTTGGCAAAAAATTTGGATACATAGATTAATTCTTTTGGTTTTTACTTAAATAAATGGTAAAAAAAATTGAAAAAAATGCATTTTTATGTACTGTGAACTGTAAATGATATCACATTAGAGCAACTTTTATCTAACGTAGCGGAATGGTTAAGCTTAAAATGAATGTAAGCGTTTTAATTTAGGAGAGCTCTATTCCCCTTTCAACACTATATATCGATGC